TCAAAAAAAAAAAAAAAAAATGGCCGGGCTCAGTGGCTCACGCCTATAATCACAGCACTTTGGGAGGCCGAGGCGGGTGGATCACAAGGTCAAGAGATCGAGACCATCCTGGTCAACAAGGTGAAACCCTGTCTCTACTAAAAATACAAAAATTAGCTGGGCATGTGTGAACATGACCAGTCAGAACTTCTGAAGTTGGAGTCAAACTACCGTGTACCTCGGTTCTTTTCAGAGCAAGTGTGTCTGTCTGTTCACTTCTAACACAGGGGTTCGCTCTCTTGCCCAGGCTGGGGTGCAATATACGATCATAGCTCGTGGCAGCTTCTACCTCCCAGGCTCAAGCAATCAAGCAATCCTCCTGCCTCAGCTTCCCAAGTAGCTGGACTACAGGTGCATGTCACCGTGCCCAGCTAATTTTGTTATTTTTGTAGAGATGAGGTCTCACTATGTTGCACAAGCTGGTCTCCAGCTCCTGGGCTCGAGGGATCCTCCTGCCTCAGCCTCTCAGAGTGCTGGGATTACAGGCGTGAGCCACCACACCTGGTACAGAGTGTGTTTTTTATTTTATTTTTTTTTGAGACGGAGTTTCGCTCTTGTTACCCAGACTGGAGCAATGGTGCGATCTCGGCTCACCGCAACCTCCGCCTCCTGGGTTCAAGCAATTCTCCTGCCTCAGCCTCCTGAGTAGCTGGGACTACAGGCGCGCGCTACCATGCCCAGCTGATTTTTATATTTTTAGTAGAGATGGGGTTTCACCATGTTGACCAGGATGGTCTCGATCTCTTGACCTCGTGATCCACCCACCTCGGCCTCCCAAAGTGCTGGGATTATAGGCGTGAGCCACGAAGCCCAGCCCGGCTCTAAAACTTTCAAGATGAAGGCCAGGTGCAGTGGTTCACGCCTGTAATCCCTGCACTTCGGGAAGCCGAGGCAGGAGGATTACTTGACCTCAGGAGTTCAAGACCAGCCTGGCCAACATGGTGAAACTCCATCTCTACTAAAAAATACAAAAATTGGCTGGGCACCGTGGCTCACGCCTGTAATCCCAGTACTTTGAAAGGCCGAGGTGGGCAGATCACCTGAGGTAGGGAGTTCAAGACCAGCCTGACCAACATGAAGAAACCCCATCTCTACTAAAAATACAAAAATTAGCCACCACCATGCCCAGCTAACTTTTGTATTTTTAGTAGAGATGGAGTCTCACAATGTTGGCCAGGCTAGCCTCGGACTCCTGACATCAGGTGATCCACCTGCCTTGGCCTCCCAGAGTGCTGGGATTACAGGCCTGAGCCACTGCACCCGGCCAATTCAAAGATTTAATATTGATTGATATGTCAATATGCCCCAAAGTGATCTAATGACTAATGTAATTCCTATCAAACTTCCCAAAAGGCTTTTCTGCAGAAATAAAACAAGACAAAATTTGCTTTTAAAGAATGTGTAGCTGGGCATGATGGCTCACGCCTATAATATCAGAACTTTGGAAGGCCAAAGCAGGAGCCCAGGAGTTTGAGACCAGCCTGGACAACATATTGAGACCTCGTCTGTACAAAAATTTTTTAAATTACCAGGCCATGGTGGCACATGCCTGTGGTCCCAGCTACTTAGGAGGCCAAGGCAGGAGGATTGCTTGAACCTGGAGGTTTAAGGCTTCCGTGAGCCGAGATCACACCACTGGACTCCAGCCTGGGTGACAGTGACACCCTGTCTAACACAAACAAACCAAAAAAAAAAAAAACAACCTTTATTTTAGAAAGTTTGTCTAGGGCCAGGCATGGTAGTTCATGTCTATAATCCCAGCACTTTGGGAAGTTTAGGCAGGAAGATCACAAAATTAGCTGGGCATGGTGGTGTGTCCTGTAACCCCAGCTACTTGGGAGGCTGAGGCAGGAGAATTGCTTGAGCAGGAGGTAGAGGTTGCAGTGAGCTGAGATCGAACTCTTGCACTCCAGCCTGGGCAACAAGAGCAAAACTTCGTCTCAAAAAAAATTAGTGGCCGGGCACGGTGGCTCAAGCCTTTAATCCCAGCACTTTGGGAGGGCAAGGCGGGTGGATCACAAGGTCAAGAGATGGAGACCATCCTGGTCAACATGGTGAAACCCCGTCTCTACTAAAAAATATACAAAAAAATTAGCTGGGCATGGTGGCGCGTGCCTGTAATCCCAGCTACTCAGGAAGCTGAGGCAGGAGAATTGCCTGAACCCAGGAGGCGGAGGTTGCCGTGAGCCGAGATTGCGCCATTGCACTCCAGCCTGGGTAACAAGCGCGAAACTCCGTCTCAAAAAAAAAAAAAAAATTAGCTGGGCGTAGTGGCATACACCTGTAGTCCCAGCTACTAGGGAGGAGGAGGCGAGAGAAGCCCATGAACCCAGGAGGTGGAGGTTGCAGTGAGCCAAGATTGAGCCACTGCACTCCAGCCTGAGTGATAGAGCGAGACCCCATCTCAGAAAAAATAAAATAAGGCAACTTAGATGAAATGAACAAATTCCTAGTTCCAAGAAAGACACAAACCACCAAAACTGACTCAGGGAATTTGCAGATATAAGTGTGGACCCTGGGTGGCAGCATTATCTAGGCGGACACGTTTATGTATTTATTGAGACCAGGTCTTGCTCTGTTGCCCAGGCTGGAGTGCAGCTGCACAATCTTGGCTCACTGCAACCTCCCCGTCCTGGGTTGAAGTGATTCTCCTGTCTCAGCCTCCCAAGTAGTTGGGATTACCACATCCAGCTAATTTTTGTATTGTTAGTAAAGATGGGATTTCTTCATGTTGGTCAGGCTGGTCTTGAACTCCTGACCTCAGGTGATTCACCTGCCTCGGCCTCCCAAAGTGCTGGAATCACAGGCATGAGCCACCACACCTGGCCCAGGTGGACACATCTAGTCACATGTATCCTTAAAAGCAGAAAAGTCTTCCTGGCTGTGGTCAGAAGGATGCAGTGTTGCTGAACTTGAAAATGCAGAGAATAGGGCCGGGCTCGGCTCACACCTGTAATCCCAGCACTTTGGGAGGCCGAGGCGGGTGGATCACAAGGTCAAGAGATCAAGACCATCTGGTCAAAATGGTGAAACCCCGTCTCTACTAAAAATACAAAAGATTAGCTGGGCATGGTAGCGCACGCCTGTGGTCCCAGCTACTCAGGAGGCTGAGGCAGGAGAATTGCCTGAACCCAGGAGGTGGAGGTTGTGGTGAGCCGAGATCGCGCCATTGCACTCCAGCCTCGGTAACAAGAGCGAAACTCTGTCTCAAAAACCAAAAAAAAAAGAAAAGAAAATGCAGAGAATAGCCAAGACCCACGGCTCACGCCTGTAATCCCAGCACTTTGGGAGGCCGAGGCGGGCGGATCACCTGAGGTCAGGAGTTCAAGACCAGCATGGCTAACATGGCTAAACTTAATCACTACAAAAAATACAAAAAGTAGGTGAGCACGGTGGCGGGCACCTGCAGTCCCAGCTACTCGGGAGGCTGAGGCAGGAGAATCGCTTGAACCCGGGAGGCGGATGTTGCAGTGAGCCGAGATCGTGTCATTGCACTCCAGCCTGGATGAAAAAGCGAGATTTCCTTTCAAAAAAATGAAAGAAGAAGAAAATGCAGAGACCAGGCACGGTGGCTTATGCCTGGAATTGCAGCACTTTGGAAGGCTGAGGTGGGAGAATCGTTTGAGCCCAGGGGGTAGAGGCTGTAATGAGCCAGTCATGTCACTGCACTCCAGCCTGAGTGACAGAGAGACCCTGAGACCCTGTCTCTTTTTTTTTTTTTTTTTTTTTGAGATGGAGTCTTGCTCTGTCACCAGGCTGGAGTGCAGTGGCATGATCTTGGCTCACTGCAACCTCTGCCTCCTGGGCTCAAGCAATTCTCCTGCCTCAGCCTTCTGAGTAGCTGGGACTACAGGCGAAAGCCACCATGCCCAGCTAATTTTTGTATTTTTTTCGTAGAAATGGGGTTTCACCATGTTGGCTACGATGGTCTTCATATCCTAACCTCATGATCCGTCCACCTCGGCCTCCCAAAGTGCTGGGATTACAGGCCTGAGTCACCACGCCCAGCCAATTTTGCATTTTTAGTAGAGATAGGTTCACTGTGTTGGCCAGGATGTCTCTATCTCCTGACCTTGTGATCCACCCATCTCAGTCTCCCAAAGTGCTGGGATTACAGGTGTGAGCCGCCTTGTGTGGCCAGCCCGGTCTCTATTAAAAGAAAAGAGGAAGGCAGGTGCGGTGGTTTACACCTGTAATCCCAGTACTTTGGGAGGCTGAGGCAGGTGAATCACCTGAGGTCAGGAGTTCAAGACCAGCCTGGTCAACACAGTGAGACCCCCGCCCCTACTAAAAATACAAAAATTAGCGGGAGGTGGTGGTGGGCGTCCATAATCTCAGCTACTCGGAAGGCTGAGGCGGGAGAATCACTTAAACCTGGGAGGCGTAGGTTGCAGCGAGTGGAGATCGTGCCACTGCACTCCAGCCTGGGTGACAGAATGAGACTCTGCCTCAAAAGAAAAAAAAAGCCATTATTATGTGCACACACAGATCACCAGGGTTACTACCTAACGATACATGGCAGACGTCGAAGAATAACTCAGACAACTGCACAGAAAGAGTGCAGCACCTATGAGAAGAGCAGCGAGGGTGTGTGGGACAATCGGGTTAGCTGGCAGCTTCCCACACTTCCAGCCTGGGCCATCTGCCCTCAGCACCTGTCCAGGGCAATTAAGGAAAATGCTCTTTTAGTTATTTATGGGTTTCCTGGAAAGCCTGGATGTTCGAGCTGCAGAATGCACATGACCTCCACTCCTTCCCTCAACTTCCCCCCCACACCACTTCCCCATCAGAAGCCTCTCAAACAAATAGCAAAACAAAGCCCCCAGTCAGTACAGCCTATTAAAGAGAAGCTTAGAGAGAGGGTGATAAATCTACCACAAATCTACAATTAGGGAAAAACATCAGCATCCTCCTCAATTATTATCAGACCAAGCAGGCCAAAAAACAAACCAAACAGTAGGTTATCCGATCTGAACCACACAGTTTATTAACAAGCATGATTTCCGGTCTTGTTTATAACTAGTGTTTGGTGCACATTCTTCTAAAGCACAAAAATTGGCCTCAATGTAACATTTTAGAAATAAATTAAAAAGAGGTTGCCGGTGGCTCAAGGCTGCAATCCCAACACTGTGGGAGGCAGAGGCAGGAGGATCGCGAAGTCAGAAGTTCGAGACCAGCGTGGCCAACACAGTGAAACCGCATCTCTATACTAAAAATTGAAAAAATTAGCTGGGCGTGGTGGTGGGCACCTGTAATCCCAGCTACTCGGGAGGCTGATGCAGGATAATCACTCGAAACTGGGAGGCAGAGGTTGCAGTGAGGTGAGATGGCGCCAGGAAAGAAAGAGGGAGAGAGGGAGGGAAATTGCCCCTTAGATTTGGACCTTTCGATACAAGCAGATGTTAGGTGGGTGTTGTTGACTGAAGGGTGGATGTGCTCATCTCCAACTGGGTGCTCTGTGGGAGGGGGAGGTGACAGGCCTGGGGAGTGGTGAGCACCCCAACATTCACCCATGCAGGGACTGGCAGACACGCCCCCCACTTGAAGCCAACGACCTTGAAGCCAACACGAAGGCCAGACCAGAGCTGGGTGCCCCTCTGTGTGGGCTCCTGGGACAGCCACTCTGCTGGAGGGGTCTCCTTCCCCCGACTGCCCCGCCCTGTGGGTGGGCGAGACAGCTCCCAGAGATGGCCAGAGGGTCCTCACAGCCCCAAGAGACAAAGGTTTCCTGGAAGCCCCAGCCCCACCCCGCTGAACCAGATGCCTCCCCAAAACTCCAGGAGCTGGAGAGCCGCAGGAGTCCTCAGGCCCCTTTGGGCAGGACGCGGCAGCCCTAGCGCATCGGCTTCCTCCCTGGGCCCAAGACCTGGGTGCTGAGCTCGGGGGAGCCACCGCCATCCACCCGGAGATCCCAGACTTTCAAGGGGCCCGAATCCCCGGTTCCATTACACGGCCCTCGCCCCAGACCACAGACACCAACCACCAGGGTGAGAATGGACGGGGGAGAATGGGACACCCTCCGCAAGACCCGCGGGGCCTCTCCAAGGACAGCAGCGCCGGCGAGCGCGGTCTCCCGACTGAGTTGAGGCCTCGGGGCCGGGGACGCGCGCGCACGCGAGGGATTCCCACTCGCTGGGGCCCGCACCGAGTGCGCTTGACTCTGGGCTCCTGGCGCGGTCCCGCCTCCGTCTTTGCGGTGACCCCACTCGACCGCGCCCCGCATGGGTGTGAAACCTCCTCGCCGCCCTCTGAGCCCCTCAGGACGGGTCACGGCGCCCGTGTGCTCCTCCCAGGCCGGAACCGCTGCGGGGCCGGTGTCGGGGACAGGGGCTTGGGGCGGCCTGGGGGACTCAGTGCCCAGGCTCGCGCTCAGCCCCGGCTACCACAGAAGCCACGGGCTCGCCGGCTCCGCAGGCTGGGCCGGGCGCGCCACAAGGCGGCGGCAGTGAGGCTGCCCGGTGCAACCCAGGCACCTGGGCTGCGGGAGGAGGCAGCGAGAACCGTTCAGGGGCGACCGCCGCCCCCAAGGAGATGTGGGACAGAAAGCACCTTCCTCTAAAGCCCCCATGGGTGTGGGAAGCCGATCTCCCAGAAGAGTCCAGGAGGGCTTCCGAGAGGCAGAGCCTGGGGAGCTGTGGGGTGTGGGGTCGACAGGCGTGGGGAGGGGGTGGGTGGGCAGAACTCGGGGCACGAAAGGCCATAGGGAAGGGGGGTCGCGCAGTCGTGGTGAGCAGGTGGCAGCCACGGGCTGAGGGGCTCATGTGCGTGAAGAGGGGGATGGGAGGAGGCCTGGGCACCTCCTGCTTGCCCCGCGGGCTCTCGGTCACCCAGTGAGCCCAAGCCAGAGCTGGCGGCACGGGGTTTGGGCTCTGGGAAGGAGGAGAGAGGCTGCCTGAGGCCCCCGGCCTTCGAGTCAAGTCGCTCAAGCCTTGAGCTGCTGAAAACACAACCTGAGTGAGGGGTGGGGTGGGAGAAGACAGCAGTACCCCAGCACTGTCATGGTCGGCTGCAGCCTCCTCTGTGCTCATCTCCAGGGTGGCGGGGATGAGAGCCCCACCCCAGCACCGAGCGTGGGGGGCCGCCTACCCACAGCCATTCCCCCCAAGGCAAGGTGGGCCAAAGCTGCGTGACCTGGGAACTGCTAGCCCTGAGGTCATCCTTGTACCATGGGAACCCAGCGCCCACCTCCTGCAACCAAACAGAACCCACCAGACCATGCCTGGGACCCCCAGCAGGGGAATGGGCGAGTTCAGGAGGGAGGGGGCTGCTCTCCTGCGGCTCCGAGGAGGGTGTGGACCTGGAGGTAGAGCTCTGAGATTCACCCCTGAGCCTGGCAGCCACAAAGTCACTAGAAGCCTCAGGGGCCTGCACCTGCCCACAAGGTCCCTGGTCACCCGCCCACTGCTGCCGTCAACCCAAACCTCCCGTCCGGCGCCTCTACTACAGGAGATTCACCGTGGCCACCACTTGCTTGCAGCCAGTCACAGCAAACTCGCGGCCAGCCACTTGGTAGAAGCTGAGCTGCGCGGCCAGACGCTCCGCACGAGCCTGATCAGGAAAGAAGCCCTCACCCGCCATCTCGTCGCGGAAGCAGCTGACCACGTCCCGCTTGTCCAGCAGCAGAAACGGCACGATGGCCGCGGCCTGCCACAGTGGGTGGTCCCGGGACAGCAGTGCCTGCAGGCTGGCGCGCAAGTCCTCGTCCGCCTGTGCCGCCTTGGCCTGGGCACTGCGGGCACCGTCGGGGCGCAGGGGCAGCGCACGGGACGCGTTCTGCAGCACGAAGCGCGTGACCTCGGCGCCGCCCGCGCCACTGAGGAGCACGTAGATGGCGTTGTGGAAGTGGTGCGGGCGCTGCGGCTGCAGGAAGCCATGCAGCTCGTCCAGCAGTGGCCGCGGCATGAGCTCCACGTCGTCCAGCACCAGGAGCGGGGTCTTTTCCTCCGCTTCAGCCCGCTCTACCACATTGGCCACGCGCCTCGCCAGCTCCTCGCGGCAGTCCCGTGCGGCGCGCGCCTCGGGGCAGTGGTGCCGTGCGTGGTACTGCAGCACCAGCGCGCCGTCCTCCAGCACCGCGCGGAAGTGGCGCGCCAGCAGGCGGCCCACGTGGCTCTTACCCACGCCACTGGGCCCGTGCAGCGCCAGGAGGAGCGGACGACTGTGCACGTGCGTGGCCAGGTAGTCCCGCATCAGCGCAACGATGCGTCCCACGGCGGCGGGCTGGCCGAACACCGCGCGCTGCAGCGCCTTCTCCAGCCCGTCGAGGTCATAGCGTTGCGCGTTGTCGTCCAGGTTCTCGATGGCGTTGAGCACCTGGAAGCCCACGATGGCGACCAGCAACAGCAGGCAGCGCTGCGCGCGGCTCCTGTGCTCCACGCGCGGCCGATACTTGCGCGAGGTCTCCGGGTAAAGCACCAAGCGGCTGCGCCGACGCCTCTTGCGTGGCGTCCTGGAGGACAGCTCCGCAGGGCCATCGAAGGTGAAGAACTGCGGCTGGTCCATATCCGCGCGCGGCACCGGGGAGCTGCAGCCCGGCCTGTGCGCCCCGGTCCCGACATTGGGCCCCCCACCCGGCTGCAGGAGGCGCCGCTTGCGCAGGACACACACCCGGCGGCGCAGGCGGAGCACGGCGCGCACGGGCGCGATCACGCACCGGCCCGAGGTTCCAGGGGCCGCGGCAGCAGGCTCCAGGCTGGGCTGACCGCGGTCCATGGCGCAGGAACGGCGCTCCGCATACAGGTCGCCCTCCCTGCAAATGGAAGACGGGGAGGGTCTCCGGACTCCCGCCACCGCCCTCTCCCGCAAACCGTTCCCGGGAGTGACCTTACCCCCTGGGAGTCCCGCGGGGTGCGGCCTGGGCTGTCCCAGGGCCAGGGCCAGGGCTTGGTCGCGGCCTCGCCCTCGCCCCTCCGACCGGGAAGCAGCCCTTCCTCAGCCCTTCCGTGGGGCCCCGATGCAAATCTCTGGGATCCTCCCATAAACGGCCTCGAGCCTTGAGGTAGTGGAGGGCTAGAGGCTTATCTAGTGGCCGCCCGGGCTTCCCGGAGGAGGAGTCGAAGGAGTCAGTGGCCGACCAGGCGCCCTTTGGGGTGAAGAACAGTCACACCGGCCCCTGCCCTCGCCCGCCACTCCGACTGGACTGGGCCGTCTCCCAAGGAGGGGCCGCGGGAAGCAGAGGCCTGAGCGCCCCAGGAGTTCAGAGGCGCCCCCACACGCTCCCAAACACTTGTTGGGGGTCTGGCCGGAACTTACGATTTTGAGAACAGGCCCCAGCCCCGTCCCCAGGCTCAGCCCAGGCCTCCCTGCCCCCGCTCCAAAACTGGGGTCCTCCCAACAGCCCTCCAGTGAACCAGCAGAGCAGCACAGGGAGCCGGGAGACCGGTGGAGGTGAGGTGAAAAGATGGACAGAAACAAAAGCTGGGGCGGAGCAAGAGCCGCTGACTAGCAGGAACTGGCCTGGGCCCTGGGCCCCAGCCCACCTCCTACCTGCAGCTGGTCCACTGCCCCCAGCTCAGCCGCCCCTGCCTGTGGCGGACGCCAGGGACTAAGTCTCCAGGCAGGAAATGCACCTTCCAGGGCGAGGGGGCAGGCCAGGGGCTTCCGGGGCCTGCTCTGGCCCAAGGGGCAGCGACACCTGTGGGTCCCCGGGGAGAGGCCAGAGCAGAGGAAGCTCCAGGGAGGTTTCCGCTTCTATGCAAAGGAAGTGAGTCAGGGGGTGCGGCCCAGGCGGGACTTGGGCTGGACGGAGGCACCAAAGGGGAAGGCCTGGCCGGCTCACCCGGATCCCCTGCCAGAGGTCACATCCCCTCTTTAGCTCTTCCGCACTCAGAGCCCTCCTGGCTCGGTCAGGCTCAGGACACCTGGTGAAGCCGAGGGCCCCTCCTGCAAGCCCTGCCCCGCCCTGGACTCCTGTACCTCAGCCTGTCCTCCAGGGCCCCCACCTCCCCCCAACATCCCTTCCACCTGACACCCCCACGTGGGGCCTACAGCTGGGAGGGAGGGGGCTCCAGCAGGGCAACAGCAGAGAGGGTGGGCAGGTTCCTCTGCCCAGCTTCGTGCCCCCAATCCCTCTCTTACCCTCCTCTCCCCTTTTTCCTTCACCTCCTGACCCCAATCTGGAGCCCCCAGAGGAGAGCTCATTTTCTTTCCCTCCCCCCTTCCCCTGTCCCCAGCCTGGAGCCCCCCACCCAGACAGGCAGCACATCCTGGGACAGTTCTATCACGGAAAAAAAACACATGTGGCTCAGGGTCCCTGTGGGGGTTGGGCAACACATTTAGAAAGAACTTGGGCCAGGAGCCAGAGCTCTGGGCACTTCCCCTGGCCACAGGGCTCCTCCCTCCAACAGGCAGGCCCAGACCACCCTTGACTCCTCCCACCCTGGCCCAGCCTGGAAGCCGCCTTCCAAGGAGGGACACGGTGGCCATTCAGCCACACCAGTGCTGCGGGCCTTCCCCTCAGGTCCCAGTCCCAGGGACGCCCCACTCACCATGACAGCCAGCCTGGGCCTGATGGTTTCCAGCTGTATATTCCTCACCCAGAGCCAGTGCATCAGGAAACATGGGTTGTGGGCTGGGGTTTCCATTCTCTCCAGGGCATGGGGTCCACAGGCCTGTCACGCTCCCCTCCAGGAACCAGGCCTGGGATTCAGGAACAGCCAGGGAACTGCACAGCCACCCCTCCCCTGTGCAGTGGGTGTTGGGGGGCCCCATCCCTCATTGTTGGGGCCGAGGGTGCTGCACATGCCACTTGGAACGCCCATGCTCTTCCTCCTGCCGGCGGCCCTCACTCCAGCCTCTGTGGGACCAGAGCGAAAGGAGGTTGGCTGTCCAGGCCCTGTGACCCCAGCACGGAGGTTGGGGTCCTTTGGGGGCCTCAGGCTTTGAGTTTCAGTGCTGCTTCTGATACAGGGAGGACCCTGAAGGAGAGGCCGTCAATGGGCAGTGCAGGCTGGCTGGGCCCTGGAAGTCCTGCAGCAAACCTCAGCCCTCCTCCAAGCCAGCCAAGGCTGGAGCTGCTGCTGCCAGAGGCTGGCCCAGAAACCCTCAGGCCAGAGCCCTCTGCAGAAAAGAGACTCGCTCAAGGGGTGCCCAGGACCCAGCCCTGTGGCTCAAACGTGAATCGTGAATCGGAGCCCTGGGCCAAGGCCTCCCCCTACCTGCACTTTCTCCCTTCTACAGGGATGAAGGGAGCCCCAGAACCCCAGCTCCCAGTGCCATCACCGTCTCCTGTGATGCCCAGGGCATGCCCATCACACACACATCCCCATTCCAGGAAGCCTCTCCTCCCACCTCCCTACCCAGCGGGGCCCTGCTGCTTCACCCCAGAGTTGATGTCCACCACCCAAACAGCCGGCATGTTCTCCGCTTCTGGAAGGGCTTCACCTCACTGCTTCCCCCAAACTGCTGGCGCCCTCCCCACTCTCCTCCCAAATTCCCCACAGGTGGTCACTTCACCAGAGAATGCCTCCCTCACCGTGCCGTGCCGGGGTCCTCCGTCCTGCCCCACCAGGTCTTTCTGCCTCACTTCCCAGCAGCGTCCACACCTGGTCACTCAGGCAGCTCGGCTCTTCCTGCCCCGATGCTGTCACTGCAGTAACCACGCAGCCCAAGGCTCAGCCGCCCACTTCCAGTTCCAGCACCTTCCTGTGGCACACACCCCTCACCTCACCAGCTCCTCACCCACAGGCTCCTCAGTCTCTGTCCCTCCCTCCCCATCTGTGGGCCTTGCACCCCCTGCAGGTGCCCTGGGCATGACCTGCCCACTGCCGACCGACCATACCAGGCATCCGGGTCCCCTCACCACAGCCAAGTCCTCGCCACCTCCTCCCCCTTCTGCCTCCCAGCTGAAGACCTGATAAAATGGAGGCAGCAGCAAGGGGCTCCCAGCATCCCCCTAGCGTCTCCTCAGCGTACCCCCAGCGTCTGTGCCCACCAGCCCTCTTCTGAGGATGCCCCGTTTGGCCGAGACCCCGCTGCCGCCTCCTTCAGTGACAGCCCAGGCACAGCCCACCATCCACTCCTCAGTCTGCTGGGTCAGTCGTAGCAGCCCCAAAACATGTATTTCTTTCTTTTTTTTCTTTGGCCCTCATTAAGTGCATTAATCTTCTATCTTCAAAAAAAAAAGGGGCCAGGCACGGTGCCTCACGCCTGTAATCCCAGCATGTTGGGAGGCTGAGGCAGGATCATGAGGTCAGGAGATCGAGACCAGCCTGGCTAATACGGTGAAACCCTGTCTCTACTAAAAATTAAAAAAAAAAAAAAACAAAATTAGCTGGGTGTGGCAACAGGCACCTATAGTCCCAGCTACTTGGGAGGCTGAGGCAGGAGAATCACTTAAACCCGGGAGGCAGAGGTTGCAGTGAGCCAAGGTCGCACCACTGCACTCCAGCCTGGGAGACGGAGCAAGACTGTCTCAAAAAAGAAAACAAACCACGCACTCTTGGCCCGACCGGGCCTTCATCCCATCCGTAGTGCCTCTCAGCTGCGTCTCCCAGCCCCTCCCTCTGAAGCCCTGTTCCTCGGCCCCTCCTCCCTGGGCTGCAGGGCACCCCATCTGCTGCCAGCTGCCAGCACCCAGAGCACATGGCTGCTCAACCTCACCTGGACTGATCTAGCTGTCAGTCGGTCAAACACCAGTAACCACAACAGCATCCTGATACACATCCCGACCCATCTCTTCAGAGCTCCACACCTCCAAACCCATTGCACGGGCCTGTCAGACAGGCCTCTGGAGCACCCCAAGCCCTTGGTCTTCCCATAGCAACCCACCTGGGCAGGTTCAAAGCCCTGGGCCCTCCAAGACGCCTCTGCAGCTCACATCTTCCAGCCTACCTGGAACTTCTCCTGCTCTGCCTCCAGATCATACCCAGGACCCTCGAGCACCACCCGCCAGCCAGACCAGCCCCGGACGCCCAGCCCCACCTGGGTCCCCAGCTCCCACCAGAGCCTTCAGCCTGGGACTTCTCTGCCTGCCCTGGGCTCTGGGAGAGAAAGACATGATCGAGTAAACTGAGGCACAGATCTGGCAGTGTAGACCATGAGTGCTGTGCAGGTCTGCAGAGGTGCAAGTCCCAGGCCTCCCTGGCTCTGTCCCCGAGGAGACCGGCTCAGAGGCTCCCATACCCACGAGACCCCAGCACTGTGGGTTGTCTTGCCCACAGGTCCCACTGCTGCCCAGCTGAGCCTCATCTACTGGGAATGGCCCTGGCTCTCCATGGCACATCCTGGGCCTCCAGGGCTCCTGTCCCTGGTGCACGTTGGGGGGCCAGGGGTGCCCCCTGGAATTGCAGGACGAAAACAAAGCAGCTGGTATGCGTCTCAGGGCACCGAGCCCCTCGGGGGCGGGGGGGCTTCCTGTTAGCCTCCAGAAATTATATCATCCGCGGCTGCTGGTCACAGGCAGGGCTGAGTAGCCCAGAGGCACTTTGGCCCATACGGCTGCACCTATCGACTCCACAGCACAAATGCCTGCGTGCACCCAAGCTGTACCCAACCCCAGGGCAGGCACAGACACACCTCAGCCGCCAGGTTTACCAAAATGCCTTTTATTTACATAGAATCTCACTGTGCGTCCAGCTGGCCCGGTAGCGGCCACTGAAGGTGGCAATGCTGGGCAGGGAGTGCTGGCTCCACAGGTGAAATGGGCCATGGGGCACCCGGGCTGCAGGGTGAGGTGGCTCCCTCTGCACAGGACCCAGGACACGCGCCATGGCACAGGCCTGGCTGCTGCCCCCACATGACATCCATGAGGTCCCAGCTGCAACTCCACCACCCCAGGGCAGAAAGCACTGTGCCTCACCTTTGCCAGGCTGGGCCAAAACAGAGGCCCCGCCCCCACTTCTCCCCTTGGAAAACAGGTGGGTTTTTCCTAACCCAGGAAAACGGAAGATGAGCACGCTTTCTATGGCTGTGAAAGTACAAGGAGAGGCAGTGCCCTGGGAGCTACCATGTGATGGCAGGCCAGCCCTGGACCCGACTCCAGGGAGCAGGAGCAGGGGCTGTGACCACAGGACAGGCCTGGCCACAGCCCCGGGAGCGGGGACTGCCCTGCACACCCAGGTCCGAGAGTCCCTTCCAGCTCTCCAAGGCTGTGACTTGGCAGGGCCCTGGCACCCAAGCAGCCCTGGGGGAGCCTCAGAGTGGGGCAGGGGCGGGCACGCTGGGGAGGGGCAGCTCCAGGGTGGGCGTCTCCGCGGCCTGCGCCGGACTGGGCTTCCGGTGGTCCAGCTGCTCCAGCTTCTCGCCAAGCTGAGAGTAAAGCTCCTTCACAGCCTCTCCACTCTGTAGGGAACCACAGCCATGAAGCAGGCAAGGCGCATGGGCGGGCACAGAGGGCAAAGGGGTGGGTGCTCACAGGACCCCGAGGGCAGTGTGACAGCACACCCACGGCTGGGAGTCCCCAGGCACCCACCTGGCCTGTAGGCTCCAGGGCCTTCTGCAAGGCTTCCAGCTTTGACGGGGCCACCCTGGGGTGCAGGTGAATGAGGAGCCGCAGCGCGTGCCGCTGCACATTCTCCTTCCTGGAAAAGGCCTCTGGGGTTGGGGCGTGAAGGCGGCCCTGCTGTCTCCCCAGGCCCAGCCCAGCTGCAGGCAGGCAAGGCCCCTGGAGACAGGACAGGACCAGCCCTTGGACCCTCCCCAGCTGTGCCCAGCGAACCCACCTGCAGACCCCACCCACAGGAGGGGGACAGC